GGGGGCACCATCATGTCCAGCCTCAGAGGGGCATCTGCAGCTCAACCCAGAGCCCTAAGTTTGCACGCAATTTCGAGCCAGAGAGCAAGCTACCAAAGCTCTGGCCCCTGCTGGAGTCGTTTCCGGCCTCCTCCCCTCACCTTTCTGCTCCCTGCCATGCTTGGAATCTCCTCGTCTTCTTCAGTGGGGAGATTTTTAAAGGCTGGACATCTAAGTCCCAAGGACTACAGACAAGGGTCAACTTATGCCCTCTGTTGGTGGTTGGCAGCATCGCCATCTTCTCTCTCTCCTCCCTAACATTTTTCATCTTAAAATGTTTGCTAGTTGATAGTTCTTAAGTGGATGGATTTCTGTAATTCTGTCCTACAAATGAGTGAGCCATGACTTGGCTACGCTGTGGGGCTTTGGTAAGCCACATGCTCGTATGTGGCAAAGCCAGACAATAGATAACTCTCAGGGCCTTGGGTTCCCTCCCCTGTGCCTCCCCAAAGAGCCCTCCTCCACCGGTGGCCCAGGCTGTGGGAAGGGCAGCAAAGGTGCAGCCAGACCTGGGCCCTGGGCCCCTTCTGCTGTTGGCTGAAGCACACCTGAAAGTGTGTGCTGCACACTTTCTGCAGCACACCTGTCTCGGAGCTGCACATGCAGGGTCTGACAGGGAGCCCAGCTGGAGAGAGTCATTGTCCTCTCTGGGCCTGAAAGTGCCTTTTTGCCATCGGGGTCCAAAAGGAAGCTGGGAGGGCAGACCTCTGAGCAAGGCTGGGCCCCGGGTTCCCTCACTGAGCTCACTTCTGCGGCTCCTCCCTTCATCGTCCGTTTCCATACACCCCACAGGTGCGTACATACAACTATGCATACGTGCAATCCCATACATGCCACACAGGCTCACAGAGTGGGTAAAGGACAAAGGTCCTGGCGTTTGGGTGAGGGCATTCACAGTCAAGGACGTAGCCTTCAGAGGCCCCCAAAGTACACGCTTTTAGGTGGCTCACCCATCATCACCCCTCAGATACGCGGTGGAAGTTGACAGCCCCAGGGCTGGGCCCGCCTGCCCCAGCACACCCCCAAGCCAAAGTCAGCATTATGTGTGCTGTCTAGAGGCCAAGGAGAAAGGTGGGGGTGGGGGAGACAAAGAAAGAGAGGGTGAGACAGAGGAGAGAGACAGAGACACGTCCACGGAGACAGGGAGATGGACACAGAAACACACAGAGATGAGAAGGGCAGGGGGACGAAAACAAGCAGATGGGATGGGAGAACAGAGCTGGGGAGGGACAAGGGGAAAAGAGAAAACACAAAGTCCAAGAGAGGGAAGGAGACCCCATACCAAGGCATGAAGAGCAGTGGGGGGGCGGGTATGGGCAGATGAAGAGGGCAGAGTGGGAAAGGCAGGCATTAGGGGCATCTGCGGGGCATGTCTGTCTCCAAGACAGACATGGAGATTTGAAGCATGGAAAGGTAGATGCAACAGAGAAACAGGTGAGGAGAACCTGGGGGTGGAGACATGTAGAGGGGGAGGGGGTTGAGAAGACAATAAAAAAGAAGAGACAGAAAGGGAGAAAGGGGAACCAGGAGATTACATAGAGGGAAGGGGACTGGGCAAGGCCCACGCGCTGGAGTGACCAAGCTAAAGAGCCAGTCCCTGTCTTCAAGCAGCTCATCCTCTGCAGGAAGTCAAACACACAAACGGGAGATTATGAAACAATGCACAAGTGCAGAGAGAAGGAAGCTCAGGGAATTACGGAAATTACAATAGTACAAAGACTGGTCATGGTCCAGGAAGGCTTCCTGGAGGGAGTGACATCTGAAGAAAGAATGAGGAAGACTCTGGTAGGTGCTGAGAGAGATAGAGGCAAGAGTGTGATGGGACAAGGAATATGGAGAAGCGAGGGCTGGACGGGACTCTGAAGACCCTGTTTGGGTCTCATCCTGAAGACAGCAGGTGCCCCTGATGGGTTTCAAGGATGCAGGTCTCTGTGTGTGTGATCGCAAGTGAAATCAAATGCTGCACTAGGGCAGTATTAGCAGAGATGGAGAGGAGGGGACAGATTTGAGGGGCAGTGAGATCTGCAGGGCCTGAAGGCTGAACACCTGAGAGCAGGTGGAATGTAGATGTGTGTCCCGGGGTGGCAGGAACGAGGCAGCCGTCTAGGATTGCAGGGTCTCCACAGCCTTGGGAATCTCCCTCTGGCCCCTGCTGAAGGGCAGCACCCACCATGGTCTGAATGCGTGCCATGCCTGTGGGTCTTTCCTAGGAGACCAAAAACGTTTTGCAGGCAAGGACAAAGCCCTCTTCACTTTGTGCAGTGGCGCCCGCTGTTACGGGGCCTGGGCAAGTGAACGTGGTGGGCAGGGCAGGACCTGAGGTCAAGATGCCTGAGGCCTCCCTGGGGGGTCTGGGACTTGAGACAATGGATTATTAAGACAGAAGCTAAAGGTGCCCGTGGCAGCCTTATTTGATTGGACAGCTATCTAGCATCTCCTATGTGCCAGCTACTCCTTGCAGTGAGAGAGAGGGAGGGAAGGAGAGAGAGAGAGAGTGAGAGAGAACACCTGGTCACAGGCCATCAGAAAATACAGGACAAGTATATTTAATTTTGATAATGATAATATGGGATGAGTCAGGCCCCCCTGGAAGTAGTATCAGGAGAGCTGTGTAGAGGAGATGCCCCTGAGCTGGGCTTTGAGAGACGACTAGGAGTTTGCTGCACAGAGAAAGAGGGGTAAAGGCACTGGAGGCTGGGGAGGGGGCCTAGGCAAAGCCTGGGGCCATGGGAGTGTCCAGAGCAGACCAGAGCTACTACTGCCCACTCTTGTCTACTCCACAGTTTGTTAACACATGTCCTCCGCCTCCCTCTGGTTTCACCTGCAGCTCAGGGGATGGTTGGAGGACACTCAGACTTGAGCTGACAGCATCCCACCTCAGGTAAAACCCTCAGGGGCAGCCCTCAAACTTCGGGGAAGAGAAGCCAGTGGATGAATGCCCATCACTGACTCCCAAGGCCAATCCTGGACTCATCCCAGAGGTCTCTGGGGAACTGGGCCCTGTCTTCCAGCAGTGACCTTGGAGCCAGTCTTTATATTGGCTCTTCCTCCTGCCCAGTCTCACTACCCACCCCCCGCCCACTCTTCCACTCCTGCTTCCTGGGACACCTGCCAATTAAACCACTGCATCCAACCCCTTTCTCAGGCTCTGCTTTGGGGAGAGTCCAAGCTAAGATGGGCCACATTGCTGGAGACCCAGAGTGGGAGGTGTTGTAGTATGCACACCACACCACACCATTTCTGAGGATCTTCTGCGGACCAAGCCCTGAACTCGACAAGGTGACACAGTCTTTGAGAGGGCCTCTCCTCTTCCAGACCTCCGTTCTGACTGGGGAGACATGATAAGAGGGGTGAGTCAGCAACATGTAAGAGATCAGAAACGTTTTCTTTCTGCCTTTGGAGCATGTCATGTGGGTTGTGGGCAGCAGATTGATGTTCCTAATTACATTTGGCTCGAGCTGATATTAAGTATTTGTCTCATCCCCCAGAGCTACAACGCTGGCAGTTGATGGGGAAGGCGCCAGGAGACGTGCTGGGCAGCTGAGGGTGACAATCTGGGATTTTAAATCTCCATGGGAGATAAAAGTAGACAAGTCACAGCCATGGGGGAGGAAAACTAGTGTCCTTGAGGTGCCCTTTAATGGCTTCCAAGTGTCCTGGAAGGACCTTTAGGGACATCCTCCTGTCTTGAGGCTGACCTACCCAAGACAGTCCAGACTGGGGCTGTGCCCAGTTTTGAGGCTGGACAACATGCTTTTGAGGGTCCAATCTAAATTTCTTCTGCCGCAGGTTGGAGGTTTATTTGGATTGACTTGTTTTTGGTGGTCGTTAATATTTGCTGAGCACCTACTGAGTGCCCAGGGCTACAGGGTAGGAGGAGATATGTCCTTGTGCTCAGGACGCTTCCCAGCTCAAGGTCTATACTAACAGGAAGCTTGTGAAAATAAGCCCAGACACCCAAATGCAACAGGTGGATCCAGGGGGCTGGAGTGGTCAGGAGCAGGACAGGAGATGGGATAGTGACAGGTGAAGTGTTTGGATTAATGCAGAAGGATGAGGAGGGCACTCTGGGCAGGTGAACGAGGTGGTCGAAGGCATGAGGTCCAGCATGGGAACACACCTAGGAAGAGTCTGCACAAATGAGATGCCTGAGGCCTGGGGCAACATCTGCTCCCCTTTGAGTATGAGACTCAAAGCCTCATATAGGAAACCAGGACCAGCAGCCATCCAACCAGCTCCCAGGACAGGCGGGAAGCTCCAACGAGGCAGCAGGTCCCCGCTGCCCTGGACTGCTCAGGTCCAAAGCACAAAAGCTTTCTGCTCATGTCATGACTGTGTGATCTTGGGCAGGTCCGCTCCCCCCTTGTTCACTCAACCTCAAAACAAGGGCGGTCATTCTTCCACACACTGTTGCATTTAGGATTCCAACAGGAAATGCAAATAAAAATAGTGCGATGATACACAAAGCACTCTACAGATGCTGTTATTTCTGTACTATGAAGTGTTCTTCTTGAAGGCAGGCATCATTTTGTTTCTGTTCCCTGGTACCTTGCACACACAAGTGTTCATCCACCGCGTCATGGACGACGTCGGGATATACTTAGTTTCACTGTAAAATCTCCGTGTAGCAGGAAGCCAGCACCTCCGGACTTGCAGGGAGGTGGTGATGCACAAAACAGCCCCGTGCCCTCCATCTCCGCTAACCCCTCCCCTGCTCAGTCTACGAGGCTCAGTGTCGGCAGAAACCGGTTCTGCTCAGGTATGCAGGACGAAGCCTTCCCACTGAAGAGTGGCAGGGTCACCGTCGGGTGACTGTCGCAAGTCCCTGCAGCAGCTCCAGGATATGGTGTGACCCAGGTCAGGGTTAGTTCACCGCACAGGACACACCTGCATTTCCCTGATGAGCGTCGCACGAAAGGCGGTGCAGACACACCTGCGGCAGGGCCCGTCCTGTCTCTAGAATGCACCTTTTGTCACCAGGGCTGCGGTGGAGAGTTTGCGCGCCGCGAAAATCTGCGGGCGTCCGGAGAAACGCCGGGGGGCAGTCCGGCCGGCCGCGAGCCCTTGTCTAAGTCACTTTCCACTCTAGGACTCTGTTTCTTCTTGCATAAAATTTCCTACGATCCCTCCGGGCCAACTAATCGCTCAAAGAATCAGATTCAAACGATCGCTTAAGCAACCGCATTCCGCGACCCTGCGCCTCGAGTTTGCGGGAGCCCGGGCGGCGGCCACGCCCCTCTCCGTCCGCCCCGCCGCGCTCCAGGCCCGCGGGCGGGCTTTGCGCACCTCCAGGGGTCGAGCCCGGCGGTCTTCTCGGCCGGCGCCGCGGCTGCCTAGCGCGTGATTTCACCAGCGTCCCGGCCAGTGGGGCACCAAGAAGCCTGGTCGCCGCCCACTGCCCAGCCGGCAGGTGCCAGGACCCCGCTTCGCCCAGCCGCCGGGCGTCCGCGGGCCTGAAGAGGTTAAGGCCGCCGGCCTGGACGCCCGGCCCGGGCCCCCCGAGCGGCGGTGCCCGGAGGCCAGCGATCCAGCCCGGAGGCGCGGGACTCGGCAGCGGGCGGGCCGGCGCTTCCTCCTCCTCCTCCCTCCGCCTCCTCCTTTGTAGCGAGTTCCCGGCCCCTCTTCCTCCCCCCGCCCCCCAGCCCAGGCCCGCTCCCTCGCTCCCTTTCTTCCTGCCTCGCCTTCCTGCGGCGAAAGAGGCTCATCTATTATAAATGCACATTCGGGGCTGACATCAGCGAAGAGCGGCGGGCGAGCGCCGACGAGCCGTCCCTGCGCTCTGCCCGTCCGGAGCGCGGGCCCCCCGGCTCGGCTGAGCCTCCCGCGGGGCGCGCGGAGCGCGCCCAGAGCCGCCCGGGCCGCCAGCGCTCGGAGACGCGCGGGACCCCTTCCCGCCGCCGCCCGGGCCCCCCATCAGACCCTGCCGCCGCCCCCGCACGCCGCGCCCGCGCCTCCGCAGCGCCCGGGAGTTCCTGCATGACTGTCACAAAGGTAAGCGCCGCGGACCCTCTGGCGTCCGCAGCCCTCCGCCTCCGCTGCGAGGGGCGCAGGGGTGGGGTGTGGGAGGGGGCACTGGTGCGGGGAAGGTGCGGCGTGCGCCTCCTTAGCTCCCCCAGTCGCTGGAGTGGCTCCGGCCCCAGAGGACCGCTGAAGGATGGGGGAGGATGCCTCTTTGGCAGCCGCTGTGGTTTGGACAGCATCCCTCCGCACCAGCCCAACCCCAGGACTGCATTTTTAACCCTTGTTTGGGGTGCTGCATTTTTAACCCTGGAGAGCAGAGTTGGGCAGCTCCTCGGTGTCCCCTACTGGAGCGCGCTTCTGGGGGAGCCTATGGCAGGGGCTGGTGCTGGGCAGTGTGGTGTGGGAATGGGCTTGTCGCCGGGAGGAGGCCACCGAAGGGGAAAGCCCACCACACCTGCTGGCCTCTGCAGCCAATCCCAGGGACTCTGGCCCTCTGCCAATGCCACGCACTGGAAGAGGGGCTCCCTCGTCCCGGGAATTGCTACTGGGGATAGGAAAGGTTCTGAGGTGATCAGGTGATCGGCTTGAAGATATGGGAACATTCTTAGACCTTGCCACCGGGGTCCAGGTTTACTGGAGCACTTTGGGGCTTCTCTGTTGTGAGGAGGAAGGAGTTAAGAGCAAAGCAGACAGGGTAGTGGAAGGTGCCCAGAATTAGGAGGCTAGGGAGACCTGAGTTCGCTTCCCAGCTCTACCCTAACTCCTGGGTGATCTGGACTGGGCCCTTCTGCTGTGGGCCTCAGTTTCCTTTTGTGGAGTGCGAGAATGATCAATCCTTGGATCCTGGAGGGCAAGCTGGGCAGTTGAAGAACCAGCAAGATCAAAGGTGTGAAGGTAGTTTTGAGAGAGCTCTGTCACCGTAAGGAGCTCACAGCCTGGCCTTGGCCTTGGTTTTGGCCATCCATGCACCAAAGGGCAGAGTCCACTAGCGGTCCACCTGGCTCTCAGAACTGAGGTGTTGGGGGCCAAAGTGGAAAGGGCAGTTTGCTTGTGGTCAGCTGTGAAGCAATGAGAGGGATGGTTCTGACTCCTTCTGATGAGCCAGCGGCTACTGGTGCCCCCTTGAATCTGCTACAAGACAACATACTCATTCAGGGTCTTTGGGCTCATTGTAGGAAGATGAACTTGGGGCTGCAGGGGCTACCTTACCTCTGGCTCCTCCTGGTGGGGCTGTTGTGACCCACAGGGGATAGGATGCTTTGTGTTTTAAAATGCTACAGATGCTTTTCAGCTGGGAAGCATTATTATTATTAAGGTTATTAATGTCAAGACACAAGTCGGCCAGGGAAGAAGAGTAATGGATGGGCCTGGATGAGAGGTAAAGGGTGTGAAATTTGTAACAATGGCACTGGGATTTGAATTCAGTGCTTCCCCTGTGTCTCTTTATGCACATGAGCTGAGGCTTCCTACCTACCCAGGAGGCCTACAAGGAAGGTGTGCTTAGCACCCTTTACAGAGGAAGAAACAGGCTCAGAGCCACGAGATGCTTTGGCTAAGGTCATACAGTGAGGAAGCAGCAGAGCTAGGGTTTGCCTTGAGGGCTGTCATAATCTGTGGCCTGCGACCTTCCCATTGCTGAGCAGCCTGGAGATTGTATTATTTCCATGGTAGAGGGTCACTACTTGGAGGCCTGGCCGCTGAGGTAGGGGGTCCATGAAGGTGGGTACTTGTTTGTTAAAACCCATTGGCAGGCCTGGCCTCTTCATATCTAGTGATTATTCACTAATGCCACACCCCCTCCACATACCCCACCGTTCCCCACCTGCTCTAACCAGTGTGGCATCAGTTTAAGCCAGCTCAGGGGATTAAATAAAATCCCCACCTTAACCCTATCTTCTCTCCCCTGGCCAGCCCTCTACGGACTAGCAGTGCTCCTGTGTAGGGCTGGCAGAGCAGAGGGATGCAGGAGACAGGCCTGGGTACAGTGGGGCTGCTGGAAAGCCTGCTGGAAGAGGGGCCTCCTGGGGTCCTAGAAGAGACCACAGTGCTCTGGGAGTCTGGAGGCCTGGCGTCTAGTCCTAAATCAGCCACTGACAGACTGTGGGACCTTGGGCCAGTCAGCTCCATCTCTAGGCCTCTGTTTTCCCATCTGTGAAATGCAGGAATTGCTTTTGATGATGTCTACGGTCCCTCCTGCTGGGCTTTGGGTCATCTTCAGCTTCGGCAAAGAAGCCAGCTGTCATGGAGATTGGGGGCACTCTGTTCTCTTGGTGGTCTGGGTAGAAGACAGTTATGAAGAAGAACCCTAAAGGACATCTGGGAGGTGGGATCAATGACCACAGCCCTTGCTCTTCCTCCTGCAGGTGCAAGGTCATGCCTTTTGAGGGAGCCTGGTTTCCTGCACCTTGCACTGAACCTTTGTGTCAGGCCTCCCTAGGACAGGGTCCCGGGGCCAGGGTTGGTGGGGATTGCAAGAGGTCATCCTGTTAGCCCAGAGAGCCTGGAAAGTGGAGGAGAGGAAATCAGAGGAGCAAGCTGCTGGATGATCAGTTGTGCTTTCCGAATGGAGGCAGGCCTCTGTTTTCCACCGACCACCCTGCTTCTCATACACATCCCCATTCTCCTTCATTGTAGGGTATACAGTTGGTGCAGCTGCATAGAAATCCTGGGGAAGGGGGACCTAAAGGGTCTCCCGCCCTAATCAGTCCTACAAGTAGCGAGCCCTGCAGATTGTGACCTTCTAGCCTGAAGGCATTGTTCCTGGTTGTGATGTTTTCAACTCTGTTTTTATTGTGTGTTTTAATAAGCTACCTAAGTTGCTTTAGGTAGTGAGGAGGAGGAGAGAGGAAGAGAGAGACAGACAGTAGGGGAAGGGGCCAGAAGCAGCTTCCCAGCCTGTGATCATCCATAGGAGATAAAGACCCCCCCCTCCTCTCAGTTTTAGTCCACTTTCCTTCCGTAGGGACCAGTCAGGGGTGAGAGAAGGGTGGCTACTTTCCTAGTAACAAGAGGATTTTATTCCAGATAATTTTATTTTGAGTTCTTGTGCTGCTTTTTATAATTTTTCTATCTCTATTCCATTGCAGTCATATGCCAGACTCACAGTGCGTCTCCAGTTTTAAATATCTGTCTCTAAACTGCCATCAGCTGGGAAACCGGAACAAATGCGTTAGCACTGTGCGCAAAGCACAAGCCAGTGGGCTGTAAGAAAGGCCTGCAGGCTGTAATGTAGGACTTTTCCACCTCCTTTTTCCTGCTCAGAGGTCCTTAGATGTGATTTCCTGGCTTTTGTCTGTGATGTGAGCAGAAATGGGGCTTCTAGGTGCTAAAGGTGGTGACATGAAATGACAGCTCCCTTGCTCCCAGGTGTGCCTTGCTGGGTTACATGCCGGTGAGCTCAGTGCTTTCCAAGTTCACGAGGCTAGTTTAGTGGGTCTGCTGTCCAGGAATAAAATTGCCTGAGCAGCAGAAATACCTGCTGCCTTTCAGAAGGACTAAGCAGGAGGAACGTGAGCAAAGAGAAGACCCTGGGGGCCAGCTCCCTCTGTAAGCAATCCGTTTCAGGTCTGCAAGCAGCGTGTCAGCCAGAGCCCTGTCCCTGTTTCTGCAGGTCAGCCTTCCTCCTGCCCCTGACCCAGCAGAGCTCAGCTCACTGCTGGGAGCCCTTGGGCCCTGCTGATTGGGATAGGACTGAGGATGGTGTTGCTCTCCCAGGTAACTAATAACAGTTAATTGTTTGACAAAGACCACATGTCTCTCCCTGTGGTCTGATCATTTGACCCTTTGCCTTGACAGATGAAGGTGCTGAGGTCCAGGGAGCAGAACTGTGACCTGTCTAGAGTCACTCAGCAAGTATGAGGCTAAAGGTTCTGGAACCTGGCTCCTCCTGACTGCTGGTCAGTGCTCCATATGCCTGGCTGCCCTGTGAGGGCGATTCCAGGCAGCCCAGCCAGGGGCAGGTGTCTTGGCCCCACTCCAGTTACCCCATCGTGTGGGCCCGACCTGGACTGCTGGTATCTGGCTTCCCCTCTGCTGGACAGCCTCTTCCCTGGGAAGCAGACATTGGGATTCAAAGTATATGGGAGCCCTTGCTACACCTAGGATCGTGATGGGGAGGGAGGGATGGCAAGGCCCTTCTGCCTCCAAATCCTTGACCCAGAATCTAGCCTACGACCCCATCCCCCTACCCTAGACATCCCCTCTGCCAGCACCTCTTTCCTGTCTGGCTCTTACTGGGAGAAGAGATGTGAGTGCAGCATGTCCCACAGCCTCAGGGAAAAGGCACACACCCAACTCCCAGACACTTGGGCTGGAGTGGAGGTTCCGCCTGCTCTGCTCCATGCAGTCATTATACCTCTCCTCCCCGCCAGTTCTTCCAGATCCCTAGCACCCTCATGCAGAAGATGTGAGGCCAACATCACTCATTTGTTTAGCCAGCACCCTCCAGAGCCCCTACTCTGGGCTGCACCCTGTGTTAGGTTTTAGGGTGACAGAATGCATAAGCCATTGCCCCTGCTGTCCTGGACCCTTGAGGAGATGGATATGGAAAGAGATGTGTCCAAGTCCCGAGTTAGGAGTCTCGAGGACCTGGGGACATGAGCCAGGAGAGAGTCTGTCTTGCCTACATTCTGTAAGTGCTCAGTAAATGCAGGCTTTTTCCTTCTGGGCAATGAAACTCGCCCTCCAGGAGCGCTCTGGTGAGTTATTTGAGGGTGCCCACCTTGGCATCTATGGCAGCACTTCGGGGCATGTGGGAGGGATTCTGAGGCTCCCCAGGGCCCCAGGATCACCCCACAGTTGGTCTGCCTTGGGGAGTCAGCATAGACTTGAGCTTAGGAGTGTGGACGCTGGCTGGACCAGTGGTCTGGCAGCATCAGGCCCTGGCAGCTCAGTGATGGAGTGAGTTTTTCCATTTCTTTCCTGGGCTGGCTAGTCTGGAGCAGACATGGCCTCAGCCGCTGGCGGCTCCTGGCACTGGGGCGTCCCAGATTCTGATTTGGATATGCTGGCCACAGAATTTGTCTGGTGTC